TTTTTTTCTATTTCTTACCTCAGTGGTTTGGCAAAAAGCCATGAGATGCTAGCTGATCAGGCAATGTGTAGTCAGAACTCTGGCAAAACCAGAGCATGAAATATTTTTTGATATTTCCTTCCTTCTGGAGGAAAGGAAGAGTAGTTTTGTGATAGTCAATTTCTGAATCAAATTTCAGTGGACTTGTTTTACAAATACCAATGACAAATGCAAACAGTGGTGGTCAAACACCAGTGAGACAAGCTGGTAGATTTAAAAATATCCTTATTTTACTGATGAAGAAATTGAAATGTGAAGTGATTGAAACTGAATTTTCAGAAAATTTCAGGTTTGCCTGCCACTAAGTGGCAGGAAAATGAGGAATTATTTGGAAAATTATCTGCTTTGTTTCTTAGTTCCTAAAATCATGTGGGTTGTACATTTAAATGTAAGGTTTTGAAAGAGGTGATCTGCCTTTTTGGACAGTTAGCAGGCAGCAAGTCTGGGAGCTGAGCTCTGCTGCCCACTGCCCAAGCACTCAGACATCCCCCCACCCCACAGCAGGAGGTCAGAACCACCCACCTCTTTGGTGCAGGAGATGGCTTAGTGGAGCTGGAGCCAGCAAAATTATTTTCCTTTTCCAATGGTATGTCATCATTACTCATACTGATCAGAAGTCAGCAATTGGTTTGTTTCTTTCACATTTGTTTGTTTGAGAAAGCTTTGCTCATGGACATCGTACTGTGTGTCCATGGAGACATTTCATCAAAACTAATGAGATGAAACGAAACTGCTTGAACTATTTCGTAGCAGGAGCATCATCTGATTTTTGTCTTCAGCTTAGAGTGTCTTGCACTAAAGTTTGCATGTGAAAGGCTGGATTCCTGCTTCTGTTCATCTACTTTGCTCTCTCTGGTGGCACTGTTTACACAGGGGTGGGGGCAGGACTATAAGAAGGCTCCAGATTGACAGTGATGGTGTTCTTAAAGTCTCTCTTCAGGCTCATTTCTTTCAGATTCAAATCATTCTTTTTTAAATCATTCTTTAACTAAAACCTGTTACAGGCATGTGGCTCATGGGCTATGTCCACTATGTAAGCAATTAAAAAGTATTGTCTTGATTATTTTTAAGGGAAAATTTAGACACTATGACAAAACCTAACCAAATCCAAAGCCTTATCAGGTCCCTGGGATTTTTATCTGAAACTTCTCTGCTTTGTTTTCCCAAGGAAAATTCCAAACTTCCTACATGAAGCTTTCTTCAACAATTATACCAGCCTCTTACTGAGTTTCTTTTGTGTAAAAGCCAGCCTTTCTGACCTGTTCTGTTCCTCCAGTGCCTGACTGAAACCCTACAGAAAAGGCTTTTATTTGCTCTTGCCAAGGGGAAAGAAAGCAGGGTACTTAGCTGGATGAGATAAGCCTTTGCCGGCTGACTCCACTGCAGAGTCCATGGGTGACATCAGAGGCCAAGTCTTTTAAAATAGGTCACCTCTTGCCCTGCATAGCTGCTTCAAGTGCATTAACATTATCCAGTGGGAGAAGAGAGGCAGATGAATTTTGATCTTGCTTTAAAACGACCATAAGGCTTCCCCCAGCACGGTCATGCCATTTGCACACCAGTGGAGATTCATAGGAAAAGCAATCCGCAGAACCGCTGTCTTCCTGGCTGAGACCACCCTCCTTCCACTGGCTTTGTTTCTGACCTGGTATGATGACACCTTTGGGGTAGCTCAGCTTATGGTGTCAGCTGGGCTGGGTGGCTGTGCTAACAAATGTTCAAAAGGCTAATGCCACAAGAGCGTGTGGAAGACAAGTCCCTTGGTGTTTCTTCCTCCAGCAACGTAGCTGGGCCAAATCTTGCAGGCGTCCCTGCGAGTGGCTGAGATTTTGCCCTGGGTGAAGACTAAGGCTTAGAGCTGTAATGCTGAAATGGGGTCTGTGCAGGGAGATGGGCTTTCAGAAGTGTCTCTCCTTCAAGAAATAAGGCTTCATTTCAGAAAGCCTGTGTACATACTTGGACTGATGGAAATATGCTTTAGACTGAACCTTTCGCTGATGAACACAGACCATTTCTCTTCCTGAGGACACCAACTAAAGCCTGAAACTCTGTTTATTTTGCCAGGTGCTACTCCAGTCTGCATGAGGTAAGGGTCACACTAGCCTCAGACATTACTCGCCCAGCACAGGGGAAAGTCCTCAGCTGCTTTTTTCTCAGCATGGGTGTAAAAAACCTCTAAACAAAGCTCCAATCTTATTTTTACGTACCTTGACTTTCCAGTGACTTGGGTATGTACAAATCTGTTCTCAGCTCTTCACGATTTCTATTATACGACTTTAAAAGAAAACCACAAAATCTATCAAGAAATTACTTGAGTAATTAGATTCCTGTTAGCTAATTAGGGCACCTAAGAATAATTTAATCTGGAAAAAATCCACATATTGAGATTTGGAATATAATATAGCAGTATTGTGTTCTGTGAGCAATGTTATGGTCTGTGTGGGAGGAAAATGGAGCATCATAAAAAAAGTCTCCTTCCCTCCTGGCCCCAAAAGAGAGTAAACCTGTAGGGAGAATTTATCTACTGAGAGCTTGGGTTTTGTTTCATATAAAAGAGAAATAACTGATCACTTGAATTCACATTCTCTGTGATACAATTGCCTAGTTATAAAAATGATAAGGAAATTTCTCATTCTGTATAACTATGATTTTTTTGTGAGCAGAATCCTGACAGCACAGTAGTCAATGGGAACTAAAGGATGCTGACAAACCAAGGATTTAATTCTCTCCTGTGAATCAAGTGATATCACAGCCTGGTATTTGTGATTTTGTTTCCGATTATTTCCTGACTCCTCTCAAGAGGAATCTATCATGAAAGAGTTCAGTAAAGAAATTCAGCTTATAATTTCCAATTTCCAATCCTGAAGTCCATATCTGTTTGTTATACAGCTAATAAGAAAGATTATATACTTATGCTATACTTATTTACAGGTAGGGAAGTCAAGGAAGAGATTAGTCATGTTACCAAAGTTCATACAAATGTCAATGGCAGGAACTGGCTTCCTGATTGTCCTGTCTGATTCCGTACCTGTGGGACCATGCTTTAGTAATCAGCACTGTTTTTAACTACACTTTTTAACCTTGAGTATAAGTCGTTTGAATATCTTTCATAAAAAGGTAATGGGAAATATATACATTGAAAAAATCCAGTAAGTCAATTAATGTTTGCAAGATGCACAGTAATGATGGTAAAGAATGCAACAGCGAATGCAATCTGTCTGCCCGGACTGGCTCGTCCTTTTACACACAGCACACCACAAGCAGCCAATATCTAGAGAATAAGTTAGATAAATTGATATTACCTAGACTTAATTCTTTCCTCAGCCCTACATTTGCAGATCTGCCACACCTCAGTGGAAATTGCACTGTGACATCTGCAAGTGGAAAATTTTAGAAGGGGCGTTGGTACAGTGAGAGATTGATGTCTGTTTTTAATGGCGTTTTATTTTAGAGCTTCTAACTACTGTGCATCAAAGATCCTACATGGTCTTCATCAAGCATTTGGGAATCATCACCAGAGGACAAACACTTTCTGGCCATTAACCATATCGTGACAACAATAGAAAAATTATTTAATATCTCATTCAAAAAACAGTTAAGTGCAATGGTTAGCAAGATCCTTGACCCTCCTTTGCTTCATACAATTTTACTTAGTTGTTCAGACAGGGTCTCAGAGATTCTTATTTTCATTAGAAATCTCTAGTATTGACCATTTCTGCCATGCTTATAGTGCAAAGCAAATTAAGGCAACAAAAGTAAGCGGTTCCAAGGAAGATTCCAGTCCAGTAATGTCATAAAACTTTTAAAATGAAACATTAGTCTTTGTTAAGCTTTGGTTTGCTAATTTTGCATATTACTGTCAGGTGCTCTTCAGCACCAGTACTGATATATTAATAAGTTAACTGAGGTGAGGGTTTTATTATTATTTGAGTCTGGTAGAGCCCGTTGTGAGTTTGCTACCACTGTTTGGCAACCCAGCCTTTTCTGACGATTGAAGCGCAGTCCCTGGGTATCCCTGGCAGCCAGGTATCCTGATGGCTCTGCTGCCAGCTTGCCCAAAGGACCTGCGGCTACAGGCGCTCCATTGCTTGCTGATAATTCGCAGACAAAAAAATGGGAGTGAGCAATGTGCTCTTGTGGCCAAGAAGTCCAATGGCATCCTGGGGTGTATAAGAAGGGGTGTGGTTAGTAGGTCAAGAGAGGTTCTCCTTCCCCTCTACTCTGCCCTGGTGAGGCCACATCTGGAATATCGTGTCCAGTTCCGGGCCCCTCAGTTCAAGAAGGACAAGGAACTGCTTGAGAGAGTCCAGCGCAGGGCCACAAAGATGATTAAGGGAGTGGAGCATCTCCCTTATGAGGAAAGGCTGAGGGAGCTGGGTCTCTTTAGCTTGGAGAAGAGGAGACTGAGGGGGGACCTCATTAATGTTTATAAATATGTAAAGGGTGACTGTCATGAGGATGGAACCTGGCTCTTCTCACTAGCATCCAGTGATAGGACAAGGGGAAATGGATATAAGCTGGAACACAGGAGGTTCCACTTAAACATGAGGAAGAACTTCTTCCCAGTAAGGGTAACAGAACACTGGAACTGGCTGCCCAGAGAGGTTGTGGAGTCTCCTTCTCTGGAGATGTTCAAAACCCGCCTGGACGCGTTCTTGTGTGATCTGATCTAGGTGGTCCTGCTCAGGCAGGGGGATTGGACTAGATGATCCTTTGAGGTCCCTTCCAATCCCGAACATTCTGTGATTCTGTGAAGTGCTTTAGATGTAGTGCTTATGTCTAAATGCTAATCAGGGCCTCTGGTTTTCTGAAACACACAAAAGAGGAAGAAAAGCTGTAAATCAGAAGGGTAATTTCTTATTTACAACAGTGCTGCAGGGTTCAGGGCAGAGTCGCAAGGGTTAGCACTGAAAAACACTTTTGTACTAACTTTTCTCTTTCCATATCTTTTCCTCCTCTAGAAAAAGACGAGAAGAGAACAAACATCTCACAGGCAGAGGTAAGTGAAATCCCTTTTTTATAAACATATTTATTGTTAAAATAGGTCTATGGTTAAAACCCCTTTGAAACTCACTGCTTCATCCCGGTTAATGTTTTTATTTGTGCTGTCGCGCCGTCTTCAATAACAGCCTTTTAAGAATCATCAGTTTCAAACCAGGGCCATATAAAGCCGTGTCGTGTCTCCACGCTGCCAGCTGCTCTCCCTTCTCCCTGTAGCAGGGGACTGGGAAAGACAAGCCTCCCCTCTGCCTTGCTGCCATGCCCTGGCAAATCACAGCAAACCTGGCCCAGGGTGACCCTGCCAGCCTCATCCAGCAGTGGTTTGGGTCTGCAGATCACTGCTGGTCTGCAAAAGCATTGCAAACTCCTCTCTCCTCATCCCGTCATTCGCCAAGCCCACAGCAGGCAGAGCACCGATGTTCTTTGTGCCAGAGTTTGAAGTCGACTCCTCTGATCTCATTTTCTGACCTCCCCTTGCACAGCTCCTGTGATTCCCTGATCTCTTTCTCCTTCATCCATTCCTCAGGGAAGCAGACAGTGCTTTAAATAGCAGTAGGAGGTATTGATTGGTTCAAATTTGGATCCAAATGCAGACTTATAAAGATTTACTGGGGTGAGGATCAACAACCTATCCCACAATGTTTATAAATAACTTTCTCTTTGAAAAGAAGACAATATTTTATTTATACATGTTGTCATTCCAACTGTTGCAGTAAGGTAAGGTAAGAAGATTGGCCATGCTTGTGTGAAAGTGGTTTTCTTAAGAGCTGTCTCAAACATTCCTTGAAGAAATAGATGTGATTAAAATTCACAGACTATATTGAAGTCCAAGCACTCACGGAAAGAGGTAATTTTAGCAAGTATTTGGGAAAG